AGATACTCGCTGATATTGAAGGCCGATTAGTTTTTCATATCCATATCGGTCGGAAAAAGGCTGAACTTTAAAGTAAACTAATTTTCTAAAAGCACAGGTTTCATGCTAACCGCTAGGTAGGATTTCAAACCAGGTTGCCATTTGCCTTTTAGATACATAGTTGAGTGTTTCCATGTTTCTAGACTTGAGTCGAATGTAAATAAAATATGCACACACATACCTATTATCTATGTATCTGTGCAGGTATTGCCGTAAGTTTGTTCAAGCAGACCACACGTTTAAAACTAATCCTAAGTATGTATATTACCCTTTTAAAAGTAAATGAAGTCTCAATTCTACATATAATAAATTTGTATCTAAACTGTCCATACATATCTACATATGTCCAAGTTATATGAAAATGTCAATCTATGTTTTGCTTTTAGCTAATTTTCTAATAGGATATGTTTCGTGATAACGGCTAAACACGAGTTCAAACATTCTATTTAGTCGTGTATGTCTTACAATGCGATGGTGTGAAGTGTAACCCCCCGATTTGGTTGAAATTTTGAAATTAGGCGATCCATGTCAATATAACCAACGTTTCTACAGCCAGTTTGTGCGATAGACAGAATTTTCCAAAATATTTGAAGGCAAAGTTAAAAAATATGCGATTTTTAGCACAGGAAGAGAATTTAAATTGAGTTTGGTTCCTCTGCCTGGTAAAAATCGCCCGTTTTTCAACTTTGGCCTCAAATATTTTGCCAAATTCTGACTATCGCACAAACTGTCTGAAGAAACGTTGATTGTATTGACTTGGATCACCTAATTTCAAAATTTCAAACAAATCCGAGGGTTACACTTCACACCATCGCACTGTTAGATATGTATGTAGCGAAATCTAGTTATGCACGTACATATGTATGTAAAAATAACAGATTATGAAAAAACTCATGATGGAAACTAATTCTTAAAAATAGATTTAAATACGTAAAAACGTTGTAAAATGCGCAAACATGTAAAAAAAGTCAAAACAATATTGTACACACAAATTACCAAAATGATTAAAAATCATTGCATAGAATAAAGAAATCGTTCCGATATTGATAAAATCTTGCCTTCAGAATTTGATTGAGTTTTAGGGAACAACAATTTTTTTCGTATTAATCAAAACAATTGGGCATAATTTGTCGAGTGTTTTGTAAAATTTTCTCAACCGTTCAAAAAATTTTAATACTTGTTACACATCTCATCCTCGTTTTTTACTCAAACTTGAGTAATGTTAACACTGCTTTTATTATATTTATAGTGTATACAAAAGTCATGGAAATGATTAAAAATCATAGCACAAAATGAACAAGTCGTTCCTAGAAAGGGGTATACATTTTGAACATACTCATAAGTATTTTGTATGATTGAAGGACAACAATTTTCTCAAAAATGTCGTCTTGCTAGGGATACTTTCGAGGTGATAGTCGTGTCCAGGGTACTCACTATGTTTTTTATAATCTACTAGGACACCAGATGAAGGATCCATTCTTATTTCCGTGCAAAACTCATGTTTGGCGCCGTAGCGTGGCGCTACATTCGCCAAATTTGAATGTTTTTAATTTTAAAAACGTTTTTAATTTGATACCAATTAAATTACACTAAGGGGCCGTTCATGAATCATGTAATCAGGGAGAGGAGAGGGGGCCTAGGGCTTCAATGGTATCGTGTCTGGATATGGGGCTCATGTTAAAAGGGGGGTCGAGAAAATCTCGATTTTTGCTTTACGTAATTTATGAATAATTTATAACTGTTGACTTAAGCACAGCAGAAATTCATCAATGGGAAAAGATTATTTTGATTTTGTAATTCAATAAAAATTGATTAGATCGCTCTTTATCCAGAAATTTAACAGTCCCCCGCCTCAGTTAAGAGCAATTTAAAATTCGAAATAAAAGTCCGTAATTATCGCTCTCTTGGATTAAACTTATTGGCCTGGGAGAATTATGTCTATTGGACTATTACTTAAAACTCTAATAGCTAACTTATTTTCGAAGATTTATGAAAAACATTTCATACCTGGTTTAATCGAATAGTCAGAAATGTTCAGGGTAACATTATTTTTTTCATGACTCGCTTCATCGAGAGGGATTGTAATTGGGAAAGCGTCCCTTAAGTCCACCATGTCGGCCAGTACCTTAAAAAACTAGGTATTACAATCCCCACTGGAACATACCTGTTCACCTTCATTCATGTCACTGATTATGAATAATTTTGAACGAAAATGAATTTCGTGTGATTTGAATGAAAATGATTGAAAGATTCCGTCATTCCAAATGAATGACTTTGAATCAAAGGATTTTTCACTCCTTTCATTTTTCACCCATGCTTAATACATGGAACGAAGTAAGAAATGAAGTTCGATGAAGTGAAATGAAATGAGTTTAAAAGAAAATGGGTGAATGTGAACGAAAATCTTTCTTCAGAAATCGAGATGACTGATTCTTGGATGAAAATTAAATTTTTGAACAGACTGTCATTCAAAATTTATTCATCCTTACGACAAATTGACGGAAAAGTGAAGTAATCTGTTTACCTCGATGATTCCGACTAGTCCGATCGAATCAAATGGAGAGATTTATGAATATATGCACAATAAATATGTAAGTATGCAGTGAACTAACTGCGCAGTTTCAAAATATTTACATACAGTGATTGACTGAAATTTAAGAATGTGGTAATACATAATTCATTTAATTGATTGATTAACGATAAGTTTGTTTGTTCTTGTACCCCTTGGTTAGACTTGTGCAATCGTGTAAATATTTTTGTATGTAACAATTGAGTTTAATCAGACTGACGTCAATTTATGTATTTATGAATTATTTAATTATCACCCAAAACCATTTTAAACAAGGATATGGATACTCGAACAAAACAATGTATTGGGTTAAGTGGACAAGATATTGAGACGGATGACGGCGTCAACATGACGCATCCTCAATTCGTGGGAAAAATTCAGTAAAGTGCACGTAACCAAGGGGTGAAACCTGCGTGTCATACATAAAACCTCAAAATGAATGTCATACCCAGTGGGCAAAAACACAACGAATCTCTGCCATATCGTTGCGATGCATCAGCATCGAATCGTAGAGAATCTCTATCGAATCGACGTCGAAAACAGAGCTAAATGACCGCCGAATCTGTGCGAAAGAGCAGCGAATTCGCGGTGTATCGTTGAGAATTCGAGATTCATTTTTGTCACGATTTCGGTCTGAGTCGTATCGATTTCGATTCGTTTCGTCGTGATTTCGCTGCGAATTCAATGTCACCTTTTTATTCGTTTTTTCTTGTCGAAGCAGTGGAAGATTTATTAAAACGCAATATAAATACATACATGTTAAAGTATAAAATACAAACCAAAATATTAATTAACATTCGAATTTACAATACCCAGGGGAGTATGATTTTCGATTGTTGAATTTCTGTATTCACTCGTGTCAGGCTGGAGTTGGATTTTCGATAAAATAACGTCATGAAGTTTAGAACAATTTGGCACAATCCTACTATGTAAAATTTAAAATTGCTTACCATTTTTTTCCAATCTCTGCTTTTTTCAAAAATTTTGGGAGAACGGCGTCCACGGATTTCTTCGTAACCGACATGACACTTCGGTTCATTCACAGACTCTATAAAATGTGAATTATTGGTTGATTTAGGTAACATTTTATACCTAAATAAGGTTTTAGTCAAACAAAATATGACTTATGTGGACCTAACTTTGCAAACACAGTTTCCCCAGTGAGCAAACACATTTTGTGAGTAACGCTAGACCATCTTCTAAAGATCCAAGAAGTATTTCCTTCTACAATTTACTAAATGCATAAGAAATATGTGAGGTTAAGTTAAGTGTGGTTATTTGTATCAACTACCCACTTACCAAAAGATTTCAGTACCCGTGGATTTCACAAATTAAATCACTAATTTATTAATTATTAATTTGCACTAGAGGAGGATTATTTATTAAGTTTTCTCCGTTGTGATCGTTACTTAAAAGATCCGCCGGTCGAAGGGCACGTGATCTAAACGCGAGGAGTAGTTAATTGCGATTTCGGTGTGAAATCGCTGCTAAAATTTTATACGGAAAATAAAATTCTGAAGTCGTTCCGAATTCGTTGCGAATTCGCATGAACAATTCTTTCCTCGAAAAGCCAGCGATTTTTCGTGATCGAATTCGTAGCGAATTGTCTTCGATTTTTCGATGAGAAATATATCGTGGCGAAGTCGTAGCGGGTTCTAGGCGAAATAGCCCTCGAAGTCGCAACGATTTTTCGTTGCAGCGAATTCGCTCTAAATTCGGCGTGGTCGCAGGGAATTCGACCAACGAATTGCCTACTGGGTATCGTTATTTGAGGGTTGAAACGCCTGACATGTTTTCGACATTTATGACCTTTGATCTGGTTCACACTGTCATTTAGATGTCGCCGGTCAAAGTAAATTATTCCATTGAATGGCATTTTGAAAATAATATTTACCTTCGAATTAACATCATTATCGAATTATGTACATTGAGTCGGTATACGATATCGCTCTAAATAATTTATGATAATCCTGACTTCTGACCTAACTTCGCGACATTGTAACCTTCAGTGTCCATCTTGCAACTAATCATGCCCCTTGAAGCTGTGAATTTACGTTAAAACTTGCAAATTTGTGTCTTCTCTTTCCCGAGTTATGGGACTCAAGGACAGACAGACAGATGGACAGACATGACGATCTTATAAAAAGCTTGCACCCCACCCCTTAATAAGTATACATATGTATGCCTGCATAGTACATACGGTTGCATAATTGTTTAGATTAGCTAAAAAACGTCGAGCTCTTTTGTGTTATTTCCAACGTGCGTAATTAACCTCTTGACAAAACAACTTGTTTTGTCGGAAAAGCCATGTTTTTGTTTTAAATGGTTTGTCCTGATAAAATGACTCTTTGTTTATAAATTGACGTCACTTTGACAGCATTCGATTCGATTCGCATGTACTTGTACGCTCTACTGGGTAAGACTGTTACAAGTACATACAAATATGGTCAACTTATGATAAGTTACTTATCATTAATCAATCAATAACTTCCATTCTCACCCGAATTCTCGGTTTGTAATACATACATACTTGTAAATACAACTGTGCAGTTTGCGCAGCAGCCTGTTTATCTAATTTACGTACATATATTATCACCCATCTCTCACTCCAATCTGGTCAGACGAATGATTGGAATCATCTTCAAAACTGGATTCTAAAATATTTTTGGGGTTCATTCGTTTTATGGAAAATTCTCAAAATCTATAAACCTCACGGTAAGTATTAGGGGACGTTTTAGAGTTACAATGGAGGCGTTAAAACTGGCTAACTTTGCGTTAATTATTTTATGAACGTTCCCTTATCCCTTGTGGAATCAATTTTTTGTACTTTACAAGTTTACAATACTCCATTTTTAGAAAATAATGGTAGACGGGAAAGAATTCAAGGACCATTCGACGAATCGGGACTCCTGCCCAATTACAGGGGGCGGGGGACCATTTTTTCTACCCGAACCAAAACCAAGCCTTAAGAAAAGAGTTGCCCAACTAGAGAATTTCGCCGACAAATTGGACAAACATTTTACCAAGGAAGAAACAGAGGCCCCTTTCCGGGCGCATATTCTAAAAATGGAAAACCAGTTTAAGTACGTGTTCTATGTTTTAGCTTTTATTTCTGGAGTAGTTCTGGCACTTCATGTGAGAGGCGTTTTATTCAGTTCGTAATTTACTTCATGTTTGAGATGAAATTAGATTATTTTCAGTTTCATTGCAGATGATTTTCGAATTAATTAATTAATTAACATGGGTGTTTGATTTGTTAAAACTTTCCGTCATTTCTCACACAGCACTGAAAAAAATGCAAAATGCAAAGCAAACAAAAAATTAATCGCCTAACCATAACCATGAACTTTTCGTAAAAATACATTGATTTTTGTTCGACAAATTACCTCTCATACTTGAAAAGTTTTTATTTCGCAGAATCATATTTAATAAATACACTAAATAACAAGCCATATATGTACACATGAGCATAGAAATCCATGGAAATTAAATCAAAAGATACAGGATACTTAGCATGAGTCATTGAAATATAGGTTTGCAATACTATACATTCATCCATATTTTGCGCATCTCATTAATACACATATTTTTTTAGCTTTCAAAATTTGCTAGGTAAGATGTTCCCGTGAATACGACCCGTGAATACGACAACGAAATAAACACGTACATTGAGTGGGCTTCTTACTAACAAAAATGAACACTTTGGAAACTACTAAAATGCAAAATAGCACGAATTAAATTAAACTGATCGTAATTGGATTCCCTAACTATCTATCTATGCGTTCATCACTCATTTCGTTAAAGTAAATTTAAAAGTTAAGTCACTTTACACGTGACACTTTCTCCGATGAATACGCCTATCTGCTTGTAACCTGAACGATTTAGGACAAAGTTTGCACCTAAAATGCAGCTCGGTCGTGTGAATGGTCAAATGAGTGTGCATATCAGAACACATTTTTCCACAGAAGTAGCAACTGGTTGCTTGACGGTGACAAAATTGCACGTGTCTAGTTAACGAGCCTGAATGAACTAATCGTAATCCTAATTACTAAATATTCATTGCTAAAATTAAAGATTTAAAATTACGTCACATTACACGTGATACTTTTTCCTATGTGTACGCCTAACTCCTTGTAACCTGAACGATTTAGGACAAAGTCCGCACCCAAAATGCAGCTCGGTGGTGTGAATGGTCATATGCGTTTCCATATCAGAACACATTTTTCTACAAAAGTAACAACTGGTTGCTTCACGATGAACAAATCGCACGTGTCCGTTGAGCGTGCCGTGATTAACAGATTTGAAACTGCATAACTTACACCGATGTGGAATTTCCTTGGTGTGCATTTTTCTCATGTGTGCCTTATAGCCATCAGCAAACCGGTATTTGGCGGAGCAAAAGTAGCAAGAATATTTAAAAACATTTGCATGTACTGCGTTCACGTGATCCCTTAAGGAATGTATATTCGAGTATGTTGTTCCACACGTAGGACAGGGATACCTGGTCCTATCAGGGTTATGGGTTTCCTGAGAAATTTTGGAAAAATATAATATTAATGGGAATATTCAGTGTTAGAAATCTGGTTAAGTTACGAAGGTATCTATGTACATATGAATATCGTGTGTAAAATGTATGTACATACATATTATACTTTTTGTTATAAGTATAAATTTCTTGCGTGAAAATCTTAAGGCTTAACTTTTAATTTTTTTACCTCATGATTTTTTATGCGAGCCCGAGAAATGGACGTTTTCTCACATTTCCGGCACTTAAAGTGCTTCACTGTGTCTTTGTGATTTTGTAAAATGTGGCTCCTTAGCAAGTTGTATGATGAAGTTTCCAGTCCACAGATTTTACAAGGGTACGGTTTCTCATTCGTGTGTTCGGCGCGGATGTGAATTTCTAATTTTTCCAGCGACGGTAAGCTAAGTTTGCACAAACCACACTTTATTGACTTAGGATCGTGAATTTTACTCATGTGCGTCTCCAAAGATGACTTTCCCAGATACCTCTGCTCACAGTGTGGGCACTGGAACCTTATGCGCGTGGTGTGATGATCTCTCTGGGAAAGTTGGATAAAAGGAAAAATATTAAATGTTGGATGAATTGAATATAATTGGTGGAAAAAAGACACCCTAGGAAAGTCACAGGAAGTTTTTTATAGTGTAGTAAAAGTGAGTTTTAGTAAAAGTGATGCATTCTGAAAGCTAAGAACAAGGATCGTAATATCGAGTTAGATTCGCATTTAAAAATAACCCCTTGTAGGTTAGAAATATTGTCAAAAATGTATACAGCTTCTCGGTCCACTCTCTGTATTCAGGTTCAGAGGTGGAAAAAATATAGAATTTTTTTTAAAAAACACACTCCACTGCAGGGATGGTCAAAATACATTTTTTCAAAATATAAAGTACAATATACAAATACACCTTAGAGCCCAAAATACATTTGTATTTTCAAACTACTTTGACAATTTGTTGTCAAAATACTTTGATTATTTTTTGTCAAAATACAAAATACAGTATTTAAATACTTTTTGAAATACAAAATACAACAATGAGTATCTAAATACCGTTTGAAATACGAAATACTCCACGTTTCATGGATTTAGTAGATTAAAAAAATTAATATATTTCTTTACAATTCTTACCAAATGTTGATACTTGACACCAGAACTTTTAAACTTCTTCCTGCATTTGGAACAACTGTAAGGCTTCTCATTCGTATGCACTCTCACGTGGATGGATAAATAATCCATACAAACAAAATCTTTGGGGCAGAAGTAACACTTAAATTTCCTCTCGCGTATGGTATGCCTCGTTCTAAAATGGTGTCGCATGGCCTCACTCGTTTCGAAGATGGCGCCACAACTTGACCACGAGCATGGGAAATGTTCCCGATCCTGCGGCAATGTGTGAAATCGTCGCACGTGACTTTTTAGCGTAGCCAAATGCATGAAAGTTTCTGAACAGTGGGGGCACGCCAAATTTTTACGTTTGGATTCATCCAAATGTGTCTTCTCATGCCGGGCTCGGACTTCCGCAGATTTAAACTTGGCGGGACACAAGGGGCACTTGAAGACGCGGGATACTTTGTCATCCATGTGCTTAGAACGAATGTGTCGTCTCATATTGCCCGATAGAAGGAAGGTCATGGAACAGTGGGGACATGCGTGGGGACGTTTGCCTGAATGGGTACGGGCGTGACTGTTTAGTAAATATCTTGCGCCGAGGGTTATCCCGCAGCCGGGAACCTCACATTTAAATCGGGCCCCGTTCTTGTGCATTTCCAAATGAGATTTTAAGCTTTCCTGGACAAGGTACACTTTGTCGCAATGGGGGCAAGGAAACGTTTCGCGGGCGGAAGGGGCAAGGTGAGTTTGTTCATGGCGATGGAAATTTTGTAGGGATCTTGCCTCGTGTTTGCAGCCTGGATGGCGACACGGGAATTTTTGAAACTCGCGGAGATGAAAGTAACGCAGGTGGCCATTCTTGAGATAGATGGATTTAAAAGTTTTTCCGCACTATTCACACGGATGACTGGTACCTTTCTCGGAGTGAACTTGGATAATGTGTCTTCTAAGGCGGGACCCTTCAGTAAATGAGAAAGCACACTGGTCACACCTATTTGTGGAAATGTACTTCTTAAATTTATGTAGCTCACAATTTCGTAAAATTATTTTGAAAATAAATATGAATTAAGTTTAATTTCTTACTTGAAATTTCGCTCCCGTTTGGTGTGTCGGTGTTTCACGTGGGACTTGAGTTCATAGCTGGTTTTGAAACGCTTATCTTCACCACACTTATCACAAACGAAGTTACGTATGTTGGAATGTATCAGAGTTTTGTGCGTTTTCAAATTTCCTTTAGTCTTACTTCGATAGTTGCACGTGTCACAGGAGAACGGCTTATCGTCGGAGTGGACAGTTGCCACGTGGCGATTTAGTGCACTCGAGGACACGAATTTGGTTGTGCAGTTTGGGCACGAGTACTTTTTTGGATTCGTGGTCGGGATAACCATTGTGTAGTTTTTGAGATTAAATTACGATTTAAAAATTTGAAAAAAATGGTAACGTATTTTCAAACAGATACGTTTATGAATATAGGTCAAGTTCGAGTTACGATTAAACATTTCTTGAAAGTTTGGTAGGATTTACATTACTTGGATTGTTTTCGTTAAAAAATAATTTTATACTTTTATCAGAAGGTAACAGTAAGACTCATTTTAGTCGATTGGAGGTGCTGTGCTGCTTGATTTTGTACATGCTACTTTATTTGTTAAGAAATGGACATGTAAGTAGCTATTTATAAATATGGATTGACCCTTTCAACAGCGACTCGGTTAGCCCGGCCGAGCAGCATACATACATACAAGTTTGTAGATTTGTATGTACATAAGTATTTGCATTTGTATCATTCATGTGCCAGAGTGTATGTACCGGACTTCATATATATATGTACGTGTACATATGAAGTCCTGATAATTAGGACCATATTTGTAGTAATATTGCACACCGACCATGCATGTAGCACAACGCGTAGAATATGCGGGCAAAAGGGTATTCTCAGAAAATAAAATCTACTTAAGCATTATCCTAAGGATTCCTGACACTTTCTTGTTTTGTTCTTGGAACGGAAAGTGAATAAATGCAGGTAATAAATAGAAAAGGGTGAATCCATAAAAACCCCAGCCGGGTTTTTATGGGTTCGGGTTTTGGACGAATTTAAACAAGTACATATTTATGTAGGTAGCAAAATGGATGAACATATATGTAGTATTCTATAACATATTCTATAACTCTGGAATAAATTAAATAAAGTTGTGTGAAATTCGTAATGAAGGGTAAGTAAAAAAAGGATGACACAGCTATTGGGTAAAATTGATCTCGTGTCGTGTCTAGGGCTGACAAATCCGGACACTCCGAATTCTAAAATCCGGATTTTTCGGAATTCAAATACTGCCGGATCCGGATTGCATTCAGAGAAGAATCCGGATTTCCTTAATGTAAAGACTCAAATTCATTTACCATCTGAAAATAAATCGTCGAGAAAAGTAAATTTTTTAAAACTTTTTTGATTGTTGTGCTTCATGTTATTCATCCAATATTATGGCTTTATCATTATGCGACATTGAACTCAAGTTTTTCGAAATTTAGCATTATTTCGTTTCACAAACCAAAAATTACCTATGTACATGGTCAGAAAATTTTCAAAAATATTGAAATCCTCAAAAAAACTGAGATTGCTATTGAATATACTAATGCAGCTAGCTGACATCTACCTAAATTCAGGTATGTATGTAGGTGTTCAAATATCAAGGAAATTGGTAATAGCAATAAATAATTCAAAGCCGGATTTAGGTTCAGGCGAAAGCGGATAATCCGAAATCCGGATTTGAAAATTGGAAACGGATTTGGCAGCCCTAGTCGTGTCCAAATTTGTACAACGGTTGGACAAATCTTACCCAATTCTTATGTCACAATCTTTTTTTACTCAATCTTGAGTATTAAAATTTGACCCAACTTTTATATAAAGTGTACAAAAAAATCCCGGAAATTGGTTAAAATCATAGCGAGGAATGAACAAGTCGTTCCTATTCATACATTGGTGTGTACATTTCTAATATCATCAAATATTTCTAACATTGGGAGAACAAAAGTTTCCTCAAAAATGCCGTATTAGTCGAGAAACTGTGCATAAAATCGCATTTCAGCGATGTATAATTTAAGAACGTATCCGATTATACATAACTTTCCCCGAAAGACAGATTTTTAGTCGAAAAATTACCCGTGAACTGAGCACATTTTTACTTCATAGACTCTTCACCTCTAGCACGCGTTATTCAATGTATCTGTGGAAACTGCGGACAAATATCTGTATCAATGGATCCTAAATCAAAATGGGATATTTAGCTTGATTTTTTTATGGGTTTACACAACCATACTGTTGTGAATTGCCTCATGGAAAAAATGTCTATATTTTGACCTTCGTAAATTTTCAAAGGAAAACATTATGAGTATGCCGATTAGCTTGGAAACCAATATTTAAATACTTACAATTTCGTAAAAAATACTATTTGCATGTTTAAACTTCTACATAAATATTCATTAAAGAGATGTATAAATACATAAATAATTTAATTAATTCATATATATTAATTATATACATATGTATGTTTATCAGAATTACATAATTATGATAAATAACGTGTAGTTTTTGCTTACTAAATATGTTTGAGCTACACTATCAAAATATACAACAACAATTTAAATTTAACTAATCGTAATCCTAATTACTAAATATTCATTGCTAAAATTAAAGATTTAAAATTACGTCACATTACACGTGATACTTTTTCCTATGTGTACGCCTAACTCCTTGTAACCTGAACGATTTAGGACAAAGTCCGCACCCAAAATGCAGCTCGGTGGTGTGAATGGTCATATGCGTTTCCATATCAGAACACATTTTTCTACAAAAGTAACAACTGGTTGCTTCACGATGAACAAATCGCACGTGTCCGTTGAGCGTGCCGTGATTAACAGATTTGAAACTGCATAACTTACACTGATGTGGAATTTCCTTGGTATGCATTTTTCTCACATGAGTCTGATAGCCATCACTCAATCGATACTTGGCAGGGCAAAAGTAGCAGGAATATTTAAAAACATTTGCATGCACGGCGTTCACGTGATCCCTTAAGGCACGTATGGTCGCATATGTTGTTGCGCACGTGGGACAGGGATATCTAGTCCGATCAGGGTTATGCGTTTCCTGGAAAATTTGAAGAAAATACATTAAGCGAAATTTGTCGAGAAATGTTTCGAGTACAGCAAACCACGTGGTAGGAGGTGATTTTTGCAGCTATTTTGCCTAGTAGAAATTCAACATGCAGGATACCACTTCTCGCCACAATAGTTCATACTTCGCTAGATTCAAAACGGTTCAAGAAACTTAATGCTTTAACTTTTAAAATTTCTTACCTCATGATTTTTATGTCAACCCGAGAAATCGAGGTTTGCGGACATTGTCCGCACTTAAAATGTGGGAGTGTGTTTTTGTGGTTTTGTATAACGTGTCTCTTTAGCAATTTGTAGGACGCAGTTTCCACTCTACAGATTTTACAAGGGTACGGATTCTCCTTCGTGTGTTCGGCTCGGATATGATTTTCTAGTTTCTTCCGCGACGGTAGGCTAAGCTTGCATAAGCCACAACGGACTAAATCAGGATCGTGACTTTGAGTAATATGCGTCTCCAAGTTTGTCCTTAGCAAATACGTGTTCTCACAGTGGGGGCACTGCAGTCTTTTGCGCGTGGTGTGATGAAGCCTCTGAGAAAATTTGAGAAATAAAAAATCTTATATACAGGGTGGTTTAAATGTCAGGTTACAATGGAAAGTTTTTCAATTGGAAAAATTCGTAAATTTCCATTAGTTACGAATTTGGGATTGAGATTTTTATTAATTGTTATCAAAACTTATGGAACACTGATGACAAAATTCTTAAAATATTGAATTTCAGAAGCAAAATTTCGGTAATTTCGGTAGCTTATGGGGATTTGCGAATTTTTTCCATTGAAAAATTTTCCATTGTAACCTGACTTTTAAACAACCCTGTATATATGTAAGTGAAAGTAAAAAGTGTACGTAATTAAGATTATGAAAATTTGACTTATCAAAATGTTTCTAGAAATTCTTACCAAATGCTGATGCTTTAACCCAGTACCTTTAAACGTCTCCGCGCATTGCGCACAACTGTATGGCTTCTCGTTCGTATGCACACGCACGTGGCCGGTCAAATATTGCCAAGAAACAAAATCTTTTGGGCAGAAGTAACACTTAAATTTCCTCTCGCGTGTGGTATGCCTCCTCCTAAAATGGACCCGCATCCCCTGCTTCGTTGCAAAGATGGCGTTGCAATTGGAGAATTCGCATGGGAAACGTTCCCGATCCTGGGGCAATGTGTGAAATCGTTGCACATGGCTTTTAAACGTGGCCACATGCACGAAAGTTTCCGGACAGTGGGGACATGCCAATGTTTTCCGCTTGGATTCGTCTAAATGCGTCTTTTCATGGCGGTTTCGGTCTTCCCCCGTTTTAAACTTGGCGGGACACAAGGGGCACTTGAAGATGCGGGATACACTGTCATCCATGTGCTTGGTACGAATGTGTCGTCTCATATTTCCCGCTTGAAGAAAGTTCATGGAACAGTGGGGACATGCGTGGGGGCGTTCATTTGTATGAGTTCGGGCGTGCGATTTTAATACAGCCCGCGTCAAGAGTGTAGCTCCACAGGCGGGAAAGTCACATTTAAACCGGGACCCGTTCTTGTGCATTTCCAAATGAGATTTTAGGCTGACCCGGACAAGGAACACTTTGTCGCAATGGGGACAAGGAAATTTGTCGCGGACGGAGGGGGCAAGGTGAGATTGTGCGTGGGTACTGAAATTCTGCAGGGTTTTTGCTTGATGCTGGCAGCCTGGATGGGGGCAAGGGAATTTTTCCAATTCGCCGAGATGATTACGTAGGTGATCATTCTTGTAATATATGGATTTAAAAGTTTTCCCGCATAATTCACATGGGTGACTTGAAACTTTTTTGTCGTGAACTCGGATATGGTGAACTTTAAGGTGGGAAAGTTCTTGAAATGACGTATCGCACTTGTCACATCTAGAAAGACATATTTTAACAAATTAGGAATTCATACTCTGCTTTTCGTAATTTTTCAAAATTCATAAAAAATACGAATTTATTTGGCAAATTATTACCTAAAATTTCGCTCCCTTTCGGTATGTCGGCTTCTCGTGTGTAGCTTTAACGCCTGGCGGGTTTTAAAACGTTTATCACACTTGTCACACACAAATTGACGCACGTTTGTGTGCACCAGGTATTTATGCATTTTCAAAGTTTCTTCCGTCTTACTTCGATAGTTGCACGTGTCACAGGGGAACGGCTTATCGTCCGAGTGGACAGTTGCCACGTGGCGCTTTAGTATACCCGCAGACGCAAGTTTGGTACTACAATTTGGGCAAGAGTACTTTTTTGGATTCGTGTTCGGGACAACCATTTTGTGCTTTTGGAAGTTGCTGTTATTTTAGATATAATATCTTAAACTTTATGTTATAAAATTTGAGATCAAATTAAAATTTAAAAATTTGTGCAAGTATTTATATACTTACTTATTTTCAAACAAACTTATAAATGTAACTCAAGTGCGAATAATTATGATTATAATTTAAAAATTTAATGGAATTTACATAGATTCCTGGCAATATTTTCTGACAAAACATAATTTAATATTTTTTGTAGAAGGAGGGAATAAGACCTAAGTAAGGAATAAGTTTAGTCAGGCATCTAGAAGTAAGATATTTATGTATTAAGGAGACTGACACCTAGATATTTATAAATACAGATCGACCCTTTTTAACAAGTAGGTATGTATGTCAGTAAGTATGGATTGTGCGTACCAGTTAACATCGTAGATACTTATGTACAGTGTCTCAAAAAATTGAAGGCACCTTTACGTATTTTTAATTGCGATATGATCCCATGCACTTAGAGCTTCGAAACTCTGCATGCACTTGTATAAAGTAATTGGCGAATAATCCCTCGTCGCCGATTTCTAAGATTACCGCCCGGTCGAAGGTGAGAATTTTTTTACCACTTCAAAATGAGAAGCCAGAATGAAAACTTCATGGATAATTTTTTTTGGACTTTCTAATATTTTTTATTGGTTGCGGCAAGGCCTCACGAAAAAACTGAGCTATCGTTCGACCGTGTACGATTTTTTTGACGCCCACAGGAATTTTTCGCCAAGAACGGTTTTGAGGCCTAAAATCGTGACCGTGGCGAAATTCAAACATTTGAAATATACAGAAGCATATATTCAATGTTTATATGGTTTTGTATATTTCAAATGTTTGAATTTCACCACGGTCACGATTTTAGGCCTCAAAACCGTTCTTGGCGAAAAATTCCTGTGGGCGTCAAAAAAATCGTACACGGTCGAACGATAGCTCATTTTTTTCGTGAGGCCTTGCCGCAACCAGTAAAAAATATTAGAAAGTCAAGAAAAAATTATCCATGAAGTTTTCATTCTGGCTTCTCATTTTGAAGTGGTAAAAAAATTCTGACCTTCGACCGGGCGGTGACCTTAGAAATCGGCGACGAGGGATTATTCGCCAATTAGTTTATACAAATACATGCAGAGTTTCGAAGCTCTAAGTGGATGGGATCATATTGCAATTAAAAATACGTAAAGGTGCCTTCAATTTTTTGAGACACTGTACATATCATTCTTTTAGAGAAGTATGTAGTATAATGTATCACATCATCATATACGTACATTAGGATAAATTTTGTAGTAACATTCTGTGTAGCACAACGCATAAAATATGTAGGCTGCCCTTTCTTTGGTTGAAATTCAGGTAAGGGTTTCATCAACGATGGGATACCGATGAGAAAGGAAAATCTATAAATTTGGGTCTATATTACCCTCAGGATTGCTGGCAATAGTATCTTTATCTACATTCATCGCTGGTTTTATTCTTGGAAGGGTAAGTATGTAAATAAGCACATATGTATCCTTACTCATGCGACCAAGGCGTGAAAAGTTTATTTCAAAATAAATATGTACATATGTATCTACGAGATTTAAAAAACATATTTAGACTTATTAAACATACAGACATATCGACATATGAGTTTTTTAAAATATACTTACAGGTTAGAAAACAACACATTCATACATAGATATTTTATAGATATTTTGAGAATCTCGTCAAAAATCATGTTTTTTAGCTTTAAAAATCTGCCAAATAAGACATTGAATTAGACATTGAATTAACCACACAAATGCGTAAATTGAATGCCTATGTACGCATGGACAAAGTTCAGACAAACCGCTATTTGTATGTAATTTGTATAATTCTAGCATATAAACAATAGTATGCTCCTTACGAACAAATATGAATACTTAAACTATCAAAATATATTTATAATAAAAAAAATTACAAAAACTACCCTCATCGTGATTGGATTCCCTAAATATCTATGTATTCGTCACTCTCTAGTGCTAAAGTAAATTTAAAATTTGGGTCACCTTACACGTGACATTTTCTCCGATGTATAAGCCTAACTCCTTGTAACCTGAACGATTTAGGACAAAGTTTGCACCTAAAATGCAGCTCGGTGGTGTGAATGGTCAAATGAGTTTGCATATCAGAGCACATTTTTCCACAAAAGTAACAACTGGTTGCTTCCCGATGATAAAATTGTCCAGTTAACGAGCCAGAATGAACCGATTTGAAACTGCATAACTTACACCGATATGGAATTTCCTTTGTATGCATTTTTCTCATGTGCGCCCTATAGCAATCAGCAAATCGATACTTGGCACAGCAAAAATAGCAGGAATACTTGAAAACATTTGCATGTACTCCGTTCACATGATCCCTTAAAGAGTGTATAGTCGAGTATGTTGTTCCGCACGTGGGACAGGGATATCTGGTCCGGTCGGGTTTATGCGTTTCCTGAAAAATGTGAAGATGAAAATATATTTATTGACATTCAAATTAAACTCTGTTTTGTATCCCAGTTTCAAAACGGTTTAAGAAACTTTTTGCATGAAAATCTGAAGGCGTGAAGCCTAGTGCTCAAGACGGCTTATCACACGAAATAATAACGTTCGTAAATTCTCTTAAATTTTTCGCTGGAGCGAAATTTGCAAGCGAACAGAATGTATCACTTTTTCCCTAATATTTAAATTTTATTCGTACATTCTGAAGTGGTTTGGGCTGAAAAATGAGTTTCACTTTTTCCAATTTTAACCTAACCGCCTAAATGACGGTATCTTATTTACACAACTTTAAAATGAGATTTTAAGATAGCTTAGCCTTCTTCTTAAGCCTTCTTAAAGCTGCAAAAGTTTCGCTCCGATAGGTGAATACAACTCAAAGCTTAATTTTAGCGAGATTTAATCAAAAGTCGTTTTCACGTGAACAGTTCATCCTTAGTATTTATCCTTAGCTTAACCTTTAAAATTTTTTACCTCATGATTTTTTATGTAAGCCCGAGAAATTGAAGTTTTCTCACATTTTCCGCACTTAAAGTGGGGCAACGTTTCTTTGTGATGTTGTATAACGTGGCTCCTTAGCAAGTTTTCGGATGTAGTTTCCAGCCCGCAGATTTTACAAGGGTACAGTTTCTCATTCGTGTGTTCGGCTCGGATGTGATCTTCTAACTTTTTTAGCGACGATAGGCGAAGCCTGCACAAACCACACTTGACTGAATCTGGATCATGAACTTGAGTGATGTGCATCTCCAAGGATGCCTTGAAGAGATATGTGCTCTCACAGTGTGGGCACGGCAACATTTTCCGCGTGGTGTGATGATTTTTCTGGAAAAGTTGGATGAAAGAAAAAATATTAAATTTTGGAAGTGAGGAAATTTACGTAACGTCGAAACTGATTAGCCGTAAATTGCACCGGTGTAATTGATAATCTCAGATATTGGCAAGTGCAAATACTTAATATTTGCATTTCTAATTTGTTTAATTTGTTTCACAGCTTGGGTTGCCGCGGGTAACGGGTCGGGTACCCGTTACCCGCATACCCGCACGATTTTTGCGGGTACCCGTTATCTGCGGGTAGCTAGAACTACCCGCACGGGTACGGGTAGTTCAGTTTTTATTCAATTGTAAATATAAATTGGCTCACAAACGAAGGTAAAAGCTCATAAAGCCTTACATTTATAAAATTATAATTTTATTATTTATCCACATCAAAATATACCATTTTCCAAGCGTTTATGTATATCCAGTTTGTCTTTTCGGAAGCCAAAAAGTTTACGGCAGCCTCAAATACTTTTTATCTCCAGAAAATGCGGAGCACCTATTGTTTGTTAAGCATAATTTGCCTGCTCTAAAACATCAGTGCTAATTTGACTTGCATTTGGGTGTATTTAATGTAAGACTGCTGATATTTTAATTTGTGCTGGTGACAAACCTGAAGCAGATTAAAGGCAAAAAATTTGTCGATTTGAAAAATTTTGTTAAAGGAAAACATCATTTAGATCAAAATTTCAAAAAATCAAACTGACAAATAACCAAGTAATATTTTTTCTTCAAGCTAGATACACCAAGATTGTATAGCAAGTCATCAAATCGTCAACCAAAAATTAGCGATTACGTGATACTTATCGTTCCGTTGACTGGTCATTTCAAAGAAAAATATTTATCGGCAAAGTTGAATTTTAAAGTAATTGTTCTCCATGTTTTTCCTCCACTGGAGTTTTCATTCCACTGGACAGAGCTTAAGTCCAATGTCGTCCACCATGGTGGACTTTGAACTCTGGCCCCCAATAGTTTTCTTCAAAGGGGTCATTCAAAGGAAAGATAGGTAATTCCTAATTGTTGGCTTGATTGTTTGATATAGCTCGCGAGAAAATCCTTGTGTAGCTACATAGAAAAGGTTCCATTATAAGTAGTTTAAGAAGCACCTAATAACATCGATATAGAAAATTATGGCATGGGCTACTTACTTGCATAGCATTATATCACATATGTACGTCTACACCCAAATGATCAAATGTTGATTCAATCATATTTCTTCGGAAGGTTGATTAGTTTTTAGCTTAATTCTCATAACGGGTAGCGGGTAACGGGTACCCGCACGGGTACCCGTGCGGGTACGGGTAGTGGAGCTGCGGGTAGCGGGTCGGGTAACGGGCAGCATTTTTGCTACCCGCGGCAACCCTATTCACAGCCTTGGCAAAACGTTCTTGAATCATCACCAACTAGAAGAATCAAACTATTACCAGGCCGGAAAAACATTATCACCAAATCAATACCATGACGGAGTGTATATGTATATGACTGCACTACATTTTTAACAGTGCACTAAAAGATATTGAAGAAAACTACGTATGATTTCTTAAAACTGAGAATTCTTAAATTTCTTAAGATTCTCAACACTGTAGTGTTTCGTTTCTTGTAGGCTTGCATAATTTCTTGCACTGCAAAGCAAGAAATGCAAGAAATGCAAGATGCAAGAAAATGTGAGAAAGTGCAAGAGATACAGCACCCTTTAGCGAGGCGCCCTAAGAATTACAACGGCGGGAAGGAGTTTCTTGCACCTTGCATTTCTTGCGGTTAAAAATAGCTGCAACCATTTTCTTGCGGTTATTTGCACTCGAAACTCTGCAAAACTGCGAACTCTGTGATTTGTTAACATTCTTTAACCCGAAATTAATTTTTAGATACATACTTTCAATATGTTCGTCGCTGTCACATTTTCTCAGAACTAATGTAAACTAAAAAGGTAAATATTATGAACAATTAGGACTGCCAATGAG